TCTCTTTTTTTGCTTCCCTCACTTTCCTTTATTCCTTCACATCCGTACTGGCGTGAGCCCTCCTGTCCCTTGCTTAGACTGCAGTAATATGCCAGATAAAAGTTAAGACTTTGATCAATCTTTGACTCTGAGAGCAGCTCTGCCTCACACTTTTCATCTAATAAATTTACAATTTCACTTGACTGTGCCAGAGTCCAATTTCAGATCAGCTCAGAGCTTCTTTTCTACTTGTTCAAAATACATCACTGAAAGCTGGTGAGAACTTCTTAGACTTCTTAAATACCAAGTAGCATCACAATGAAGCAATGCATATATAACATTTGACATTAAATAATCTACATTTATGCAGTAACACATTTAGTTTTCATGCATTTGTCTTGTAATAGAGATTTATGTTGTGAATCTTGAAGAGAAGCTTGAATCACTGACCCCAACTACATCTTCAGCTCCTAAAAGCAAAATGTTTATGTGGTTTTGTTTGGGCCAGTTTTCACCATCTAGTACAACAAAACAGAACACATTGGTGCTTTAAGAACATAATGAATATAATTTGATCCGACATACAGTGAGATGTTGTACTGTAAAAAGAACGGGATACAATCAAATGCCTCACAACAGCTACTAAATAGACCTGTTTCACCAAGTATGACATGTGGTCAGTATCACATTTCAGTCAAATCATAGCAGTTAAAACAAACATTATTAGCCAGTTAACTTCCTTGGTGATGTCCATTTGGTTCCGTTTAGAGAGAGAATTAATGTTTTATTAATTATAAACACTGGACACACTGTCATACTGGTATCTACTTATTATATTAAACATTAAGGATTTTTTTTTAAGCTTTCCAACCCATCCAAGTCTGAATGATATATAATACAATTAAAAGCACCACTAGCAGGCAAATGGAACCTTTGATAATACAGGAAATTTATATCACTGTTCGCTCTCAGTAACTGAGTAAACTCTGGTGAGGCGTATTACAAGAAAGATCAACCTATTTTTAGAGGGTCAAAAAGCTGAGCTGAGATATTTATAGTTTCTTTCAACTCCCTGCACTTCCAAAGCCTCAACACACACCTTAAAACCACACACTGTTCATGGAACTGATGCTTTCATGTTTAAAATGCACAGGCATTCAAATACAATGTCAATGTGAACACAAGCACAAACAACAGTGATGGAGAAAACAGCATTTGGCCTGCTATATATAAAACACTGTAAATGAGAATATTATAAACTGGAGAATTATTTTACAGGCCAATTCTCTCTGCTAATGTTCCATGTGTGCATTAGTATATCTTAAGGTGCATTAGTCCGTCTCTGTGTGTGTACACACAAGTGGGATCAAAAATCTCAATGGTACACATACGTGACAGGAAACAGAGAGCACTGCTGTCTCAGAATATAAAAGGACAAAGCCAAAAAAACAATATTTTAAATTAAAAAAAGTAAAATCCAGCCTATCACATTTTGGAGGATGCTCATACTTTAAGTTGTGATTAGTCGCACATGTAAAGCAGCTTTTTGTACAGAAAAGTGCCTCCAATCATTTAGTGCTGTTATCAAGAGCAGCAACAGTTAAGATCATAATCTGAAATTATAGCATTCTGAAATTTGTCAAGTGAAGAGATCCCTTAAGGAATAGAATGATACTGGTTTTAGAGATAAAATTAGGACTACAGCAAACTTACTGCAGGCAAAGCAGTGAAAGCATAACATTTCTGCAACAGCTGTTAGACAAATTGCTCATACAGTTTCCTTTACTGGCTGATTTTGTTGCATCTGTGATTAAGGAGCATTGCGGTTCAGGATTTGATGCCCTCTGCTCAGCCGTGTGTGTGCGCAAAGCATAGTCATGCCCATGTGTAAACAGTGACAAACACAGGGAAAGTTACAGTGAAAAAGCAAAGTGGAAGAGACCACATCAGCCCTTTCACCCGATTACAGGTAGGGGAAGTTCCAGGTTACAGCTCATTATGTTCTCATGGTGGAAAAATGCTAAGAGTTAATCAACTGAACCATAACACTCAAACATGAGAATCTATATTTCACAGCTGGTAAATCAACAACCATGCACTTAATTCACATAACAACCAAAACCAGCTCAGCCAATACAAGCAATGAATTCGTCGTTAATATCAATGCAAACATTGCATGTATGTAGAGCACAAATTAACAGAAAGAAGTCAAGAGCAGAGCAATAAACAAACAGAAGCACTGGTGGCTTCCTTCCTTAACAATGATGCCAAGCACACAAACACAACTAACAGAGCCAAGACAATGCAATGCATGAGATTCATGTTAGCACAGGCACCACTTGGCCTGGTGAAGTGAAACAGTTTGTTACTGTAGTCTAACAGGGAAACTACACAAACAGCATGATGTGTATTAGGCCCGTGGCTCATACGACAAACAGTAGATGAATAATGTGGAGTAATTCCAGCAGCAGAAAAAAACTTTAACATGAAAACACTTAAGGCATGAAAATACAATCCAGTAAATCACTGATAACAGAATAGCTGTTCAAAACAAGTGCATCTCTTCATAGATGGTCTTCCAAGATCGATTTAGACAGTATTTTACCAAAAACTAATTTAGTTGTTGTATTGATGCCTCTAATTAGCTGCTTACTGTACTCAGACTAGACCCCTAGAGATATACTGTATTGATCAGCAAAAATAGTATCGATTAGTGTACCTACTTGAATTAATAACTGTCTGAAGACAAAGAATCATCTTTGGTTGGCTCAGTGTCAGGTGAATGCAATCCTGCACAATCCCACATAAACAAAAACACAAACATGCTCATGAATACAGATGCCTGCATTTACATACATCCATGTCCATGGGATCACTTGTCAATGTAAAGTCCGGGATCAATGTGAGCTCAGCTGCCAAAGCATACAGTCAGTCAGACTGGTTCTTACAAGTGACAATCGGTCACAGTATGTAGGCCTGCTGCTGTTAATTTATTTGACATTGCTTTGTATTCTACCAAGCTCAGAGCATAACAGGTACCGTTAGTCATCCAGCAACTGCTGCAATCAGAACACTCCCTCTTACTGAGTAAATATCAAGCTAATCGTGTAATCTGCTGTGCTCGATGTGAATTTGCAAGCAGGAGAGAACATGGTGTTCTGTTCCGAGCTGATTTCTCATGCCTGTTCCTACAATACCTAGCAGCTCTGCTTCACTGTCTGGCGGCTAATGGAACACATAAACAATGCATTAAAGAGTTTGTGGGGAGAAAATTGAGAGATGAAAGGAGGCTGGTAGTGAAGGAAAGACAAAGAGACAGCAGCTGACTCCAGTCTCTGGTGGACTTGAGCAGTACAGGTTAAAAAGCGTTAGTGGGGTGGGGGAATAAGTGGCAGGATGGGTAGCTGAATGACTGCAAGACTTAACGGAATAAGAAAGAGAAGCCTGCTGACCACAAATCCAGCTATGAGACTTACAGTGCAGACTTGCCATACACTGCACTACACACAGAGCTGAGAAATCAATTAAAAAAATAAAATAAAAAAAAAATAAAATTAATTGATAATGGAAAAATATAATGTTTAGGCAATATTTTTATTTTCCGTTGACATTTTCCTTTTCTAGCAGTAGCAGTCACTATGGCAAGAGTCCATAAACAGTCATTGTTAGGGCCACTCCAAATACCATGAAACTGTGCATATTCAACTCCTCGTTTTATTTTTTGGGAAAACACTTTGAATTTAGTACATTATTGGGAATTAATCAGGCATACTTGTCTCTGGGTCTCTAATTTAGCTCAGGTCCAACTCCCCTACTTTGAGAATATGTGGAAACCGTATGGAAACTAGCTTTGAATAATGTAAGAACTGCAGATGTGATAAAAATTTAACAGAAACAGATCATGTAACAGTCTGCATATAGTGTAAATAAACATGATTTCATTTGCAATTTTAATGAAACAAATCAATAATTTAAATGTATAAGATTATTTATAGCGGAACGTTTCAACAACAGCCATTCAATGCATTCATAGCAAATAATTACCTCTCTATAATGTATAGTACAAAGCTCTACACACCTAACAAAAGAGCAGGATTCATCTCTTTTCAAACTGTGTCTGTTCAGGTCATTTTAGGCTTTTGAAGACAGGGTTGAGGTTTGCTTGCTTTTTATCCAATCTGAAGCTCTTAAGGTACGTGAACCCTTTGGAAATTACTGAGCTTTCTGCATTAACTCGTTGTCAAATCTGATCTGAAAAATACAGTGTAGGCTACTTAAGGTAATAACACAAACAGTTACAGTTGCTCATGTCAATATTGAACTCTTCATTAAACAGTCACAATGCAGGTGGGAAAAAGTAAAGCCTTGAATTTAATAACTATAGCCAAGTTCAGGAAGCATTCTGGATCATTCTTCCTCACAGAACTTCTTCAGCTGTCTCCTGTGAACGGCTCTCTTTAGGTCATTCCACAGCATCTCTATTGTGTTAAGGTCTAGAATTTGACTGGGTCACCCCAAAAGGCAGATTTTCTTTTTCTGAAGTCTGTTGTGCTTAGGTTTAATGTGCCGTTGTATCACCCAGCTTCTACTGAGCCTCAGCTGGTGGACAGCCTTCCTGACATCATCACTGTGTGAGTCTTTTGAAATACTGTATCTTTTTGCAGAATGTGGTTCACATTTGCAGCAAACTCAAAATGTTTGTGTCAAAGAAGTTCTAACCAGTACACCCAGTCTTGTTTCACTGACCTTGGGGTTCGCATACTTTTTCCGACCTATACTGTGAAATTCTGAATGATGCATTGAATATGGACAAGAACAATGCAATGATTTGTTTTTTAAGCACATCTGACCATATTTCAAAACAAATTTCTTCATAAATTGAGCTAATTCTTGTGATCACTTTTTCTTGTCACTAATAAACATGTGTACGTACATGCACATATATCACGAGGAACACTCTCACATACACAGCATCACTACTGCATATTCTCAGCACGACTCGATAAACATTCACTAATCACCTGTATTCCTGGTTGCAGTGACTCCCCAGTCCTTGGCACTGTCACTTGCTTTAAGTGGATGCCTGCATCAAAGAGAGGAGACAGGAAATAGGAATCAGTTCAGTCAAGGCATACTGGGAAATTACACTCCTGCATCTCTGCAGACATTTTCATTGCTGAAAATAAGGTTCTAAATGAAAAAAAGGATGCAGAAGAACTGTAAGACACAATGGGAAAACAAGGACTGCTTTACTTAATGAATTACATTTACATTTTGATTCCACATAAGAGAAGGGTTTGGGAAGGGATTGAATAAAATATTGCTAGGATCATTGTGCAGGGGTATTCACAGCACTGATAGATGTTGTGCCATGAATGAAATGTGTTTCTCTAGCATCTAGCAACTTCTAACATCCTCTTACTGCTCACACCTGTAAGTCATCTGTACCGTTACACTCTTAACACAAATCTATTCCACTTCAACACAGAAAAGCTCTGTGGCACAATTTATAGATCCTGTCAAAGAGAACAATTCCAGTCATTATTCATCATAAAGAGGTTTAAGTCAAATCAGTCTTTGTCTGCCTTGTTTAAATAAGAAGAAACAGTTATTATATCAGACAGACTCCATACATGACAGCAGCTTACAACAGAAAGCCTCCGTTTTAATTGAGGTTGGTAAACTGGATGAACCGACCAACTGAGATAAATACATTTTACATGCAGACCTCAAGTGCAGTAGAGGTAGATATTCTCTGCATGGAGAATATATATTGGTGGTCCTGTTGTTCAAGGCCTCTAACAGTGTAGCAGCCAGGGATCTAAGAGCCCTCTCCACTGATGGAATATAGATTACCTCACTTCAAATGGGCCAATTTGCCCAGTATACACAAGTATATAGGCTGCACATCTAATGAGCACTAACACAGACCAAAAATTCACACACGTCTAGTAATTCATCCTCTGTTATGTTATCAGAAACTGCCTTCTAAAACAATTTAAGTTCTAAGTAGTTTGGTCTCATTTTGTGTCATTCAGCTGATGACTTCCCAGCCAACCCTTTAAGAAACAGGGCGCATACACTGTAATTTAAACCAGTCAAAGGCTGCAAAATGCAAAACATGATGGAGGAGCACTGTTCCAGCTCGCAAATGGACAAGTCTGTTTTAGTTTGAATAGAAAAAGGTGCATTTCAGATCAAGAAGCGCAGAGCTTGATTTCACTGTTGACAGCAAAGATTCATGTACATGACAAAGCGGAGCATCTTTATCTGAGGTTACTGTCCAAACAGCACATGCAGGAGACACACACAAGCCTGGCTAAAGATGAATTCATACGGTCATCAAGGTCCCTTGGCGAGTATGGTGGCTCAGTCCAGCCAGAAGTGCCCAGAGAAGCCTGCCACATCAGTTCTATCAGGTGCCTACTTTTAAAACCTGGCAACTTAACTGGTCACAGAAACACAGCTCTGTGGTCCAACACTTTCAGGTGGTAAAAGGAACACCGTTGTGTGTGTTCTTTGTGAAAGAACATTAGAACCTACTGTATATTGTGGCATGCGAAGAAATCACTTTTATGCAGAAGCTCTTTTCCAGGTTCTTCCTATGTTTGTGAATACATACCTGGGTTGTTTCTCTCACTGTCCTCAGATCTGTGCCTTAACAAACAGCCAATATAAGGCAATTTTCCACTGTGCCTCCACTTTTTGTCACTTGTGAAATCTCATTTTATGTGTTAAAACTGTAGCTCACACATACTGTTTGCCATTTATTTCACTCTTTCTTTTCAAACAGAAATTATTAAAATACTGTAGACCTCGTAATATGCAGAGGTATGATAATATCTGCATGCCAAAGCATACTACTTTCTGACTTGGTACCCTCTTTGTATCCATTTCACAGGAGTTAATTTAAGGCAGAAAAATGGCCTTGCTCACCAGTTTGCTCAATATGTGCATTACACAGTTGAAATATAATGGAGGCTGTCACCAGCTGGTTCTCCAGTTGGATTCCACACTAGTCCTGTTCTCAGCAGAAAGTGCTCCACTCTCTCTTCAGCCTCATCTGCTTTCACTCCAGCTCACCTTGCAAGTTCACTGCTGAAATCAGAGTGTGCACAGCACCCAAAGCATCTTCGGACCAGAATTCCATTTGTAACTTCCTAAACAATGAAAACCCTGCATCATTGCCAGAGCTCTCTCGCTCCCCTCATCTCTCTCCCTCTCTCTGCCACTCCCTGCCGCTGCTCTTTGAAGTGTACAAAACAGATTACTAACCTGGCAACTTAATTTGCCATCGTATCAAACACCGAGCTTTAAGCTATGCATAATTTACATAATGCACAATTTCACACTCAAAACTCCAAATGAAGCCTTGAAACAGCATTGACAAGATGAATCTTTTAAGTTGAAGAATGTGTGCAAGATGAAACTTAGTGCAACAGCTTTATATTTTATTTAATCTGCTGTGTATGTCACACACATTTAGTGCAAATGAAATCATGTCAACAAGGCCTGCTGTAGCACATTACATACAGTGGTATGCACTCTATCAGTTTATTAGGTACATCTACCGTTAACTAATACATGAAGGTGCTAATGTTCAGTTTTTGTTGAAAACCGTTTCAGACAGGTGTTGTAAGCATCATTTGTGTCCTCACACTCAAAAGATTTTCCCCACCTTCCCATTAATGAAGGCAGCTTTGGTCCTCAATAGTGCAAAAGAACACACATATATACACATACACACACACACACACACACACCTACACCTACAGTGTGATTCACACTTTTCTCCATTACCTCCCAAAGGAGTTGTTGGACAGATAATGAAGTCAGCCTTCCCAGGGATAACTAGTAGTTCTTCAGTGTAAACAAGTCACCGTCACTTCTGCTTTCGAATTTACTTTATTCTATCACGGATGTCCTCTGCAGCAGCCTGCAGGCTATAAAGTTGGCAAACTGGAACAGCTTGAAAATTCTGTTCACTTCAATTCAATCAGACCAATTGACAGGAGAGAAAAAATAAGCACAGCAGAAGAATAGCCACATGACAAACACACAAAGGGAATATTTCCAAAGAAAGAGAAAATTCTGGCATCCAGTCAAAGTTCCAGTGTATTTTAAGAAATGAAAGGCCAATATCTAATGCCTCCCATGTTTATCCAAGGCAAACAATATGGCAGTTTTCAGAAACTACAGTCTATGGTGACAACAACAACAAATACCACAGGAGGTACAATTAGAAAATTTACTTCCACAGCTGGTCACCACCACTTCCTGTCAAATACCTCTCTCCTAGACCATTAGTGGATATGAGGCCAAACCAGAAGGCCACTAAGAATGAACACAAGCCTCACCGCCTCCATCTGCCTGTAAGCCAACAAATCAGCAGCAAATAAGTCACTTAGAGGTAGAACTGAAGAAGCCAACAGAGAACGAAGCAGGCCAAGGGATCAAAAGAACTGCCAGGCACACAGAGATTTTCTGAAGTCAAGGACTGGAAGGAATACAAGTGAAACTGAGCCCTGGTTTGTTTTATGCATTTGTCGCTGCTCTAGCAGGGCCACCCGTGCAAAGGACATTTCCTGACACAATCTGGAAAAGAGTTTTCAGATGTAGAGCAGCATCCAACAGAACAACTGCATTGCCCTGCGCTGCTCATCATCTCTGGGTGCACACTCCCTGTACTCTCAGCATAGAAATGCACAGGGGGGGTGGGCTTATCCTCACCCACCCGATTTCATCTTTGGGTGTGACACCACAGCTGGGACAGATTCAACACCACTGGCTTTCAGTTTTACATTACTTGAAAATGTTGTAGAGATAAGGAATTAGTAAACTGACAGCAGGAGGATTTTCATTATTAGCCGAATCCATCTCAAAGCTTTGTGTACCAGCTCTCTAAATTCCAACTTAAAGGGATTTAATAGTTAAAAGATTATACAGGCACATTTATGGGCAATAAGAAAGCTTGTAAAAACCATTCTAATAGTCCCAAAGCTGAGAAAATATCACATTATGAATAATACAGACCCACACACATTCACACCACACACTCGTCCCCCCATAGCGCTGGAAGTCTATTCTTAAAATGACTTTTGTCATCCAAATTAACCATCTCTCAGTTTCAATCAGTCTCTCTCTCATAATGCAATCTACTGCTGCAGCTGCTTCTACCATTCATCCATCCTCTCTCTCTCTCTCTCTCTCTGTTTCCATCAGTCTGTCTCTCACTGTCTCAATCTAAGATAGGCTGGAGTGGCCCGGCAGGGTGTAAATTGGTGCCTCATCCCCATCTCCTTTGCTGATTGGACTCCAGCTCTTCAGAGAGGAGCACTTTCTGAGCAGCTTGGCTGAGGCTACCAAGGCTGGTGTAGTGGGATCATGGTGCTTATTCTATAAGACTGGCTGCTGGTGGCAACTGATAGCCTGGTTGACTGGCTGTCCTGTAGTTAGAGATCTGTCCACATTAAGGGAATTGTTTACAAGTACAATAAAAAATAAAAATTACTTTATTTATAAAAAAAAAATCCTTCTTTCCATTCTAATCTTGAAAACTAAAAGACTGTGGGAAAGCAGACATCACTTATTATTACATTGTCTGTTTCCGGTTGGAGTAAGAAACACTATTATAAAACCTGACAAGAAATATTCTATCTTCAGAGACACAGTTTGTGTGAACTTATACAAAACTAGCAATTCCAAATTCAACCCAAAAAGACTTAATGGCTGCTAATTTGTCCCTCTGTCTAAAATTTTAAGCCTAACATCTAAAGCAACAGCCTGCTGACCTGTGACCTATACCTGCCAAAGTGAACCTTCAGTGTAAAATCTGAGTAAGCAGGGAATTTAAAGAAGAGATTAAGCAGTAACCAAAACACAAGTTACTTGACTTACGAATCAAGCAACAACAAAAAAGAGGCCAATGACTTTCACTTCTTTTACAGTTGCCGAGCTTCCATTCCTGTTTGTCATATTAAACGATTGGCCCGACAAACTCCAAAGCTCGTTTTTTGTAAAAGTAAACTCGTACCTTAAGTGGCGTGTGTTGTTCACTGCGGGTGTTAAGAAAACGTGCCCAGGTGGTGGCCTACAGATGTCCCGGTGTGCACAAACGTCATCAGTCCAGGAAACGTTTCAGCGTTTACTGCCACGGGTAATATGCATCCGTAGTCCTACTGAGAGCGGGGCAGTGTGGCTTATACAGTTAGCCACTTCAGTGTTTGGTATGTTTTATGCTGGAAGCACAACGCGTGTCTTGACGTTAACAGCACAGCTACTGCTGTGCGCAACTGCGCGCCACTGCGCTCCCGGCCTGCACTAACCCAGCCTCAGGTAGCTGGTTACACCGGATCACAACTCAGTATTACCAGAAACTCGATGCTGCATTGCTCAACAACACAACTGTAACAATGAGCACCAAACACTGCACAGTCCCCTACCATTTAATTGTTCAGACGTCATCAAACGTGTAACCTCATTAAACGTAAGTGTCACCACCTGGCGGATATCTTCTGACAGTCAACAGTGCACGTCACCGAGTCCCGTTGTGTAGCTTATGAGATTGTTAAAGGCGATTAACCAATAATCAATTAATCACTGACATACTTATTATGATCAGTAATAAAAACCAAACTTCCCATGGGTGGTAGGACAATCGACAAAACATGAATCAGCAGCGGAACAATCATTTTATCCCTTTAACAAACAGCTTGTATATGAAGTGTTCACTCCGTCAAAGGGCAGCTCCTTAATAAGAGCTAAATATCTGGCTGCAGCGCTCAGCCATGTGCTTTTTCCAAACTAAGGCTGCGATAGCAGGCTGATACAGTGATTAGAGAAACTGTCACTCGGCGGATGGATCAGATTTTAAGCCTCCATCACAGCAATCATCGACCCTGCTAACGCATCATTTGGCAAAATGCTGAACCCCCTCCAGCTCCTTTCAGCTGGTTCTAACTTATGACCTCCCTGTGGAGGAAGGAGGGGCAGCACTGTCCTTTGCTTATTCTTCAGATGGATACCTTGCAGAAGTAATTAACAAACACCGAAAGAGTCTAGGTTTTATATGTCTGTATTATTCATATTGTAACGTCAGCTGGGTTACACACACAGCAACACAGACAGAACACACACCAACAAGACCCGTCAAGTCCGAACTATACACCTCCCACCCTGAGGGGCATTCTGGGAGACCCTTCCCACAGTCTCTCCCTTCTGGCATTATGGGGAGTCCCACCATGATACAAAATACATATATGAGACATGAGCTTTGTAGCATGGCCATTTTTCTAGTGCAGTGTATGTATACTTTCATTCTGTTTTTACTGGGTTCATTATCATTTTGTTTCACATTTTCCTACAATATTGTGAAAGTGCTTGTTTAATAGGATGCTGTTTATTCATGTTTTATTTTTGTATCATGTTCTATGTAGTATTTGCATTTTATTTATTGAGCTGCACTAATAGAGGTCATCCTAGTCTCATTATAGCTGCATTTTTCAGCCATCTGTTTACTTATTAGTAAACAGGTGGGTTAAAATTAGAGCTACTATTCATTCACACATGAACTTTTCAAACAAGAAACACCACTTACATATGTACCTAATTCATATATGGGAATGTGGTTTTCAGATATTTCATATATGATAACTTTTTCCATGTGGCAGTTTGTCCTCAAATGCATTTTACACATGCATCTTATTACATGAAAGACATTTCACATGAATGTAATTACATGTGATAAATTCAATTCACTCTGTAGTTTTCAGATTTTACATATGCAAACACAGGTTTCACATATGATTCCTTTTTTTTAAGATGATGTTGATGATCACCTGATGTTAAAGGCACAGAGAAGACATTTCCACACACATTCTGTGTGCTGGGGTTACATGGCCCACATCACAGTCTTAGTTTGTATAGTCAAAGAAACACAAACTATGACAAATGTTTCAAATTATACCCAAGGATTCCACCGCCACCTCTGTAGAAAGTTCTAATGAATCCATCCATTCCCAGTCAGCACACCTGCTCATGCTGAGGAAGGGAGCGAGCAAATCAGCAAGTTAAACAGCGCAATGAAATCTCCCCATTGCTTTTCAATCAGACTCAGATAGCTCCTTTTACTGCCTCAAATTCACATTCCAGAGCTTTGGCTGGCAATTTCTGTGTTAATTTGCATAAAGGAACTTTAAAAAATTATAAATGACAATTTATGGAGATGATCTATACAGTTGTGCCCATATAGGGAAGGACTCATTGAACAGTGCACTTCTTAAATATGATAGGCTCATTCAGAGGTAAAATATTGGTTAAAATAAAGTGGGTAGTGAGAACATCATTGTTTTATCTCTCATTTCTTAGGAAGCTGGTTTCACAAACAGGGACAATGTGTCCACATTTTGGACAAGGTGCCAGTGTGGTTGCAGTACTGCACAAGCTTGTATGGAGCAGATTGATGTGATGGGTAAGTGGCCCTAAACCATGTGATTTTGCCACAGGTGACTACTGTTCACATTTTGTAATGTGGCACTATGGCAGTTGTTGAGGATGCCCTGCCATGGATCTGACCTGGGAGTAGTGAGATGAATGAACTAAAAGCAAAACAAAGACTGCATGAGTTCTTTCTACAACTATTTTTTCTAAAAACAAAAATCTATGTAATTATAATATTTTGAGAAATGCAATAATGATGTAAAATTCTATACTGTGTGTTTCTCAGATAAACAATTCTACCATGTCTGTTTGAAAATATATAATAGGAACAATCAAATAATACTATGGTGAGGGTAATTTGGGTTTTCTTTTGCTAAATATTTCATTACTAAACTTTATTAACACCACAATGTTAATTTTGGTGCTGTTGTTGTGCAGCTTACAACTAAAAGGAGAATGAATTAAAATCAATAAATTCCAAACTCTATTAACTAATGCATGAAGCAAACCCTCAAGGCTGCTGCTCAGAACACTGACATATTCTTATATTAGCATTTGCATATTAAATTAAGCCTTTCATTGATTAAAAACTCTAGACACTTTGTGTTTTATGGTGCAGGTGCAAAGAATAGAAAAAGAAAATATGATTCCAAAGGGCAGGTTTAATTGTTTAAAAGGCCAGACAGCTAAATATCTCCCCTAAGCAAACACAGGCCAATATTATCACAGTCTCAGTCTATACTTGCTTCACTGCTGTACCATGAAGCAATTGCAAAAATCACACAGTGAATATTTATCTGTCAAAGTGGGTGTCTAAGCAAAATTGATCTCCAAACTAAAAGTGCCTCCCAAGTGGCTGGTGGAATTTAGACATGAGCCAGGTTTATCTGACAGGAAACTGGAATTAATTTCTCTCTCAGTATGTGAAGAATTTTATAACCTCCTTGAAATGCATAGTTTATAAACAGAAGGCAACAGAGAGAGAGAGAGAGAGAACAGTGAGCACTATGCATTTTGGTAACAAACATTTTGATTCTGATGACTATAATTTAAAAAGTTAAAAACCAGATTTACCAAGAGGCAAGAATTCCTCTGGATATGTGTACTGATAATGACTTGTAGATGGAAATCTTGTGAAACATCTGTGTTTTCTCTTGCATATTTGTTATTCTGTCAGGGAAAAGGACTGTTTATCTTAGAAATGATTAGACACTTTTATTTGGTGAAATAGGCTTTGCTCCTGAAGCTGCTCCCCAGTGAATCTATGCAGCGGTTTGTGATCACAAACACCTGCATAGAGCTGTACAGAACCCAAGCAACACAGTACTGAGTTATGGGGGATACAAATTGCTCCAGGCGAGCTGTAGCTCTGGAGGTACAGCGGTTGTCCCCCAGCTGGAAGGTCAGCAGTTTGATTCCCATTCTCCCCAGTCCATGTGTTGAGTGTTGCGCCCAACGGCCAGAGCAGTGCCTTGCAGGGACGGGAACGCCGCCATCAGTGTGTGCGTATTGGTCTGTCTGCAGCAGATACCACCAATATAGAAGGGAGTGAGAAGTGGTCAGATTAAAACATATAAGGACAAGCTTGTTGTCTTCTCTGAAGGTGGTTAGTGTTTGTATTTCCTCTGATGCTCTTCTACTGGAGGTATGTGTGGTCACACAGCTCTTTCAGAGTCACCACTGTGCTTCCTTGGCAGTCATCTCAGAACTCCCTTACATAACAGACTTTGTTGTTTCATTAATTCTCTGCTGATTATATGAGCTACCCGCACCATCTGTCTCACACAATGTAAATATGAAGGCTGCTGTTCCTTATCTCTGTAGTTGTATTTCTGCATGTTTGATGTTTTGGCTGCTAGTAGTTAAGTTGTCTATTGCTAATGGTTTCATCTATTTATTGTCACAGTGCCAGCCCTCGTCCCATCTTGCCTATTTTGTGTGTTATTGCGTTGGACATTATTATGGATTAGGCTCTTCTAATTTAGTCTCTCAATGTCCCTGGACTATGTGCCTTACCCTCTGTTCCTACTCTCCTGACTTTGTACACTGGTCTCCATTTCCTGGGTTCACGTAGTATATGGGATAAATCCAGTTCCCTTAATTGCCTCCACGTATCCCTCATTTGCATCTTTTCCTTGCTACCTAGTCCCTCTGTAAGACGCAAGGAAAAAATGCAAGGAGAGAGGAATCGAGGAAACATTATCAGCAACATGAGACATCTTTTCCTTTGATCCTTCATCTGAAGCTGTCAGGTTTGCCCAGCTGCACCTGCCTCTCTCACTTCTCTCACTCTATTTTAGCTCCCTTACCTCTGCTTACACACCTGCTTCACGTCCCTTGACTCACCACCAGCTGCACCTGATTAGTTTCTTCCTATTTATACCGTGCTCATCGTCCACTTCCCTGCCAGTTCTTTTTAAACTCTAGCCCGTTTCTATGCCGATCTATTGTTTTTGTCTACTATATGTATTTGCTCACACTCTTCATCCCAGCTCTGTTCCTGCCTTGTGCCCTGTGTCTATCTTCCCAGCCGCTATCGCTTCTCCGGACCACGGACCTCCTCAACTCCACATCACTCCACCACGCAGGTCGATGCACAGTCTCCCATTAACTGTTTCTGTGACTCTGTCCCCTCAGCAACCAACCACCACGACCAGTCCAGGAGTGAATCCTAGCGTCCGCAGCCCGGCCTCCTCCTTATCATCTCATCACTGACTGTATGTTTTCCAGGACTGCCGCTCGACACCCGGTTCTGCTCCGTATTCCTTCACCTGGTTGTACACATATTTATTATCACTGTAAATAAATAGAGCACTTCTTGCACCGAAGTCAGCTACCTGGGTCCGTCATTTTTTACTCGCTCACCTCCCTACCAGAGCGTTCCTAACAGAAGCGTCCAATTACCAAATGATTTTCAATAAAGTGGTGTCAGTCCATAAAAGACTTTGGCAAAAGATAGTGTCTTCTGTCCTTGCTCATGTCTCCGACAGGTAGCCTCCTTGGTCCTCGATCCTTGCTCCTCAGCAAGAATAAGAGCTCTGGGACATTATTCAAGATGACAGACAGAAACAACTTCTAGGTCAAGGGAAGCTCAAGGAGTGAGACACAATCAAACAAGGGAAATGATTTTTCCTTATGGCTTTGCCACATCATCTTGTGTGCCCCCAGTAGCATAAGCATTTCAGCCCTTTTGCATTCCAGGTGTTCCTAGTTTTCCTAATGTTCTCACTTAGATTTATTCAGCTTGTCTGCTTTGTTTGTCTGCCTTTGGGTCTGATTCTCCTCAGTTCCCCTTTTCTTTATATGAAACATTACATTTATTCTTTCTCGACAATACAATACAGTTCTCTACAGTAAAGCCACTTAGCCATTGTGACCACTTTTACAATATTAAATAAAGCTATCTCTAATTAGTTTAATGGCAAGCGACAAGCTCATTGAGGTGGACGGCTTACACAAGACATCCACTATAATAACAGTGCATTTGTGCTGATATGTAAAAAGAAAGTGATGGAAATAGAGTGAGGTAAAAAGACAAACAGGATGATCAGAAATAACCACTGTAAACAGAGAAAGCGCATACAGATTCTATGTGGCTCACTTCCCAACACAGTGCAATACCTTTGCATGAGAGTTTATGATTAATGTACATAATCAGCTTCCAGTCTGCTTCCCGTGTCGTATATTACAAACAGGGTATATGAGATCACAGATACGTCTATAAAGCATCATAAATGATGATGCTGCCACAGGGAAAGTGTTTCCCTCTATATTCACAAGTCATCGTTTGCTGCTGTGATTAAACAGCGCATTATTTGATAATGGAAATCCTATATAAATGATCTTTTTTTTTTAAATATTCCACAATATATCACAAGAATAGCACAATACTGGCCAGCCGTTCTGCAAGATCTATGCCCTAGTCATTTAAAGACATGTAAAAGTGTGGGTGTTACTAAGAGAGAGGTATGACTTCTGTGAAAAAACAAAAATATTGGTCAGTTTAATTTGAGCAACAAAAGATAAATAGAGATGTAAACCAGTAGAAAAGGAAGGCACCTACCTCCAAAAGTATATTAGGCTGAACAAGCAATATTTAATTTGAAAAAAATGACACTTTTTATTTAAAAGGTGCAATGTGATGCATTGTTTTTGATTTCAAAAAGAAATGGGAGACGGAGACTCCCATGGGGACAAACTTCATTTGTGACTACAAAATTGGTTAGACATTTTACTGAGAAGAGTTTCTGATAGCCATGAAAGGAATACCTATTTTATTTAATAGCTAAGGATTTGTTTATAGCCAGCGAATACATAATTAACAATCAGAGGAGGCTTGTGAATGTTTCACTTAAATACATGATATTCCTATAACATTATCAGATCATTCAAATTTTGTATGACTTGACTTGACTTGCTTGACTGTGCAAATTTTTAGTCGTCCAGGACTTGGTTCCAGTCCAGATGATTTTTTTCTACATTTTTTTTTTCAGGTTAAGACTTGAGACTTGCATGTGTGACTTACAGTATAATCCTCTCTATAATTTTTCTTTAGTCAATCTACTATCACTCTCTTGGCCTTAATATAGGACGTGTGCACAACTACCAAATTTCACAATTACAAAGTCTTCATGCTTCAAAATAATTCCTTTATATTAATCTGAGTGTCAGTTTGCTGAGCCTTACACAGTATTAATTGTAACGCTGATGCTTTTACCTGCTCCCTATCACTTTGTCTTGTGTGATAGAAGAGGCCAAGAACAGTTCTGTGAACCAGTTCTCCATTACTTTGGTTCCCTTGTGAAATACAGAGTGAGAATGGGCGCTAAAATGACAAAAGCTCAGTTTTAGCAGCTTTTTAAGCAGACCAGTCAGACGGGGAGTGGGGGGCAGGGGGCGAATGAGTTTGAGGTTTCTTTTCTCATCCCAGAAATAGCAGGAATTTGATTTGATTTGATTGCTGATGGGGCTTTTGGCGAGGCTGCTGATAAGCCATGCTCTTTAACTGGGTGTGAGGCTATCTAAAATAAGAAGACGAAATAATGGAAATGCCAGCACAAATAGATATAGGGCAAAGATAGGGAGCTGTAATTGTCGGGGGGTGCTTGTTCTGGCATGACTTTGGGCCACAGACACTCTAGAAGATGCGATCAGTGCACTTCACTGCTAGCGCTGATTTTGATTGATCATCTTTGTCTTGCAGCATAAGGATAGTAGTGAAGATGCCATTTCAGCAGCCACTGCAAAATATCCTAAAGCTGAGAGCAATTTATATCTGATTTAAGAGCAGGGATGTTATAAAGGCTTTTTAAACAGCATTTTTCTGTACAGGAAAATATGCAACTCCACTCAAATGCACAGGACTGAAGAAAAACTAATTCTGTGTTAACATTGCTAGTAGCTGTTTTGCAATGGGTTAATGTAATCCTGCAAGATGTCAGTGTCGCTGTAGAAGAAATGCATAATTGCATGAAGGTAATCATTCTGAACTGACAATAGCAGTGTGAAAATTAGTAAAACCTTTTACTACTGAGGCAACGATGTTTAATTTTGTTTTTGCTTTTCTGTTAAATCATCCTGAAACGGCACAATAATGGCATGACACCAGATTTTGTGATCAACTGCAGCTGATTGGAGATGTACTGACTGAGAAGTAATGACAAGAAATTATGCAGTGTGTTGCATTTGTTTTTATGGTTATGTTTCATTTAGTTTTCCAGCTGGAAACACACAGATATTCCTAACCCACTGTGAAAACACTTTTAAGGAATTATTTTCTACATTACGTTGCTGCTCTGACAGCAGAATACATTTAGATTAGTAGAAACTACAACCATAACAATCTGATCAAACGTTTCATTTGGGCGTGTTGTTAATGCTTTTAAAGGTATAACTAAGTCAGCAATGCATCTTAGCCATATAACTGTCCTGTGAATACAAAATTAACAGCACACAACCTACAGTATGCTTTAAAACAGCAGTCGTCAAACACAATAAAAGCATCTATGTGGATAAAGCTTCTAAACAGGTTGTAATTGCAACAATCTGAAAAGAGGCCATTAAAAAAGGTGTCACCATAATCACCATCAACCCCCTGAGCTGGCCCGCAGTATTTAATTTATCCACTTCTCTTCTTATCTGTCATCTCTAAATCTTTAACAAATGGATCTTATTAAATCAGTGTTTTGCATGTCAAATATCAGTACTGTGTATATGGATGTGTAACTTTTATCTTATTCACAACATTGGCTATATTCAGCCAGAGTTTGTATGAATGAGCATTGCTCCCAAGTCACACCATCAGCCTCCTCATTTGGGTGGAGTACACTTTTATCATAACCCCCTGATTAATCTTACCATGCTTTATTTCCATCTCAAACTCTTTATCTTTCAAGCTCTTTTTCCCTAGGTTTTGAAAAAAGAAAACACCAATTACCCTCATACAGCACATCATGTTGGGATGATCATGTTTCATTCTCTCCAGTGAATAGAGAGGGGGAATAGGAGCCGGGCAGCTTTCCCAGCAGATAAAACTAAAATGCAAAATGTTGGTGTCATTTTAATTAAAATGATAACTCTATCGCGGAACCAGGTTTTATCAGGAAGGAGGGTGCAGATGCAAAATAGTGTGACAACAAAAGGGTGATTATGTGTTTGTGTTATTGTAAGCCGTGTTTACTGCGCACAGTAATTGTACTTTATGATTTTGTTCCTGCTGCACAATCACAATTCCCCTTTCCAGTTATGGCTTATGGTCGTGCTTCGAAACACCCCACCAAGAACATTTTGGATTAGAGCAATATTGCCACAGAGACAATTCTGACAAACCGATAGCACATCAGACACATGCTCATTCACAGCTACACATTCTCATTCACTCACTCACTCACTCACTCTCTGCCAGACATGGGTGTCAGCCAAATGGTGCTATTTGCTGGAGCAGGACTGGCACTTCTCCAGACCATGGGGGTAGCAGGCTTGGCAACGCAGAACACTGATGGACTCATTGAAGCGGTTCGCCAGCATGGACAGCTTGCTACCATGACACAGAGAGCAGGGAGCGCAGCCTGAACCCCCACAGTGCTGGCAGCTGTTTGGCTCCTGGAGACAGAAGAAACACATTAGAGGAGAGAAGAGGAGGAGGAAAGAGGAAGTGAAAGAGACAAACTGTATCATTAGGAAAAAAATAAATAAAAAG